GGAGTACACTCCCATAGTTGAAATGTATACAGGGTTGCGCAGTTGTTTTTACCCTTATTTTCAGTGATGAGCTGATTTATTTGATGCCCAATTATAAATTTGTTTTGCCAAAATTTTACCAAAAATAATAGGTTATATGCAATTACTTTCTTTTTTGGTGGGAAAAAGTGACCAGAGTTTTTGCTTTGTACTATAGAGAAGTAGCTGTTATTGCATTTTAGGTATGTCAGACAGGCCTGGATTCAACTCTATGGCATTCATTACAAATTAAAATTGTTATTTATTTAACAGACACTGTTGACTTCCCATTTCTGATGAGATATTCTCTGATGAATCTACACTCTGAACAGCTTTGGCTGAAATGAATGATCTGTAACAACGTTCCTTGAATGATAATAATTTGATTGTTAGCTTATTAAACTTTGCTTAAAATTTAAAATTAACATAGCAGCATTCTATGAGCACTTTTAATGTCTAGAAAGAAATGGAAGTTAAAATTATATTAGCGTATTTAGTTACATTTATATGTAAAATGAGAAAAGGATAAGATAGAACAAATATGTGACAACATCCCTCCATAATCTGAGAAACATTGAATAAGTACAGTACAGTCAAAGCATGATTTAACACCTAACTAATTAGCTAAGCTTTCTTTCAAAACTTCTGCATACTGTAAAATACTTTATTTTAGCTGGAATAAATTTTCGCTGAAAAGAATTTTGGGGTGTTTTGTATAGAATTTATTTTCACTGATTTTTGACCAGTTGAATGTAAAATATAGGGTATATTCACTGGATTTTATTTTCACTGAATGATTTCTTCAGCGAAAATTAATTCCAAGTGAAAATAAAGTATTTTACAGTATCTGAATTGTGTAGCGTAATCTTTCTATTTATATGTATCCTATTAGTAACATAGGTAAACACTGCAAAGAATAAGTTGAAAAAAATGATGATGATGATGATACTCATAAGTATCTGAATGGAACAGCAAAGCCAGCTTTTAAGAAGTTAAGTTATGCCTGGACTGTACTGTACTTTTATTTGATCTAAAGACAATTTCCAATTTTTTGTATGGTACACTGGATCAATCCATCAACTAAGAGGTATAGAAAAACTTCGCCTGTAGCTGTAAACATCCCGGAAATTTGTATTCAAGCTGTTGTCAACTTACGCCTGAGGGGATCCACCCACACCGAAAGCCAACAAGCGAGCGGAGAAACAACAGCCAGTAGATAACTGGAGAGAAAGCACTGAGAAGTCCAAAGTAGAAAACCCACAGAGAACTCATTATAAGTCCCTAAGAAAACAAAACTGGAAATTAGAATCGTGAGATGGGGAAGAGATTGTGATTTCAAACAAGCTAAAAAAGACTTATATTAAAGGGGCGATGGTTGTCACGCAGCATGTGTTTCAAGTAGACAAATGCATCGTCTATGTCGCTACGAGTCCCATGTCGCGGCATGACGATGACCACCACCCTTTAATTATCAATATCATATTAATCCTTTGAACACTATTCGTCACCCTGTCATATTGATGCAATATTTTGACACATTTTTAGGTATTTTTCTTTGATTTCTTTGTCAAACCAAAAAGACACAATGCTAAAAAAGTATGAAAACAATTACCGGTAGGCAGGTTTCTTTTGTGAAAATTACAAAAACTAGTATTTGAAAGTTCAAAAGTGACAATATACTGGTATTTGAGAGTGAAAGAACAACACCTGAAAAAAAAACACATCTCTTTGTTTTTAAATATAAATATGTGTTACTTGAAACCTAAAGAAATGAGAAAAACTGTTCAGTTGCCAAAAAGTGTCCTGTTTACACATATTTTGAGTTAACAATGCATATGGTTTACACATTTTCTGTTAAAAGCATTTTGTTCGCACATTTTACTTACACAAGTTTTGTTCACACATGTTTCAGGTTGAAGTGCTTGGTCCACAAATTTTCTGTAAAAGGTGTCTCGTTTACAGAATGTTTCTGGTTAACAAAGTATTCAGTTTACATATTTCTTGTTACAAAATGTTCACATTACACATATATGTTTCAGCTCAACAAATTGTTTTATTTTGATTTACACATGTTATTGAACAGCTTCCTGCTTAATGTTGAAAAAACAACTGCTTCACGTACATTACAAGGTGAACACTACATGTAAGTGAAACTGAAATGCATGGCTACACATATATTAAAAATCATATACTACAATCCCACTACTCCTATAGTTGAAGTGTATACAGGGATGCGCTGTTGTTTTTACCCCAATTTTTACAGTTGAGCCGATCTTTTGACCTCCAATTTTATGATTTCCCACCATTCCCACAAAAAAACAACACTATTGTACTTTACAAAGCATTTATGATAATATGCGATGACAGCAATACCCTTATATTTCATGACAATTTAAATATGGTAATGTTATTTTAAATAGAGTAATTTATAACTTCTACGTCAATTACATTATTTCGAGAAGTATATTTGATTATTACAAAAGTTTGTTATCAGATGACAATATTTGATGGTTTTAGAACCCACCTAACACATTATAGTATGACCTCTGAAGGTCACACATCCTGGTACTTGTATGACCTCTGGAGGTCACACATCCTGGTAGTTGTATGACCTCTGGAGATCACACATCCTGGTACTTGTATGACCTCTGAAGGTCACACATCCTGGTAGTTGTATGACATCTGGAGGTCACACATCCTGGTACTTGTTTTTCTGAAGGTCACACATCCTGGTAGTTGTATGACCTCTGAAGGTCACACATCCTGGTATTTGTATGAGGCCTTACTAGCCAATTTTGGCTAAAATAGCGCTCCACTGAACTTGGTACTTCTTTTTACAGTTTAAGTTGCTTATTAATCACATTTTTTAGTGAAATATTGTTTAGTGAGTGAAATATTAATGTCATACATAATTCAATCTTTTGGAACAAACTTACACACAATAACGATAATAAAATTTGAGTTTGAAATTTCTCGCGTAATTTCAGGTTACAACTAGCTCAAAATCACAGACAGATCACTTTCCAAACCAGG